TGGTTTTTTTTGTCTTCTGGTGAATACTTATGTGTGGTGGGGTATAAGGAGTACCCACAGAGTGTATACAGCAGCTAAAACCTATTTTATATATACGTTAACACTACACAGCGCCACCAATTCCACACCTTTTCTGTGTATATATATATTGTTTACACTACTGCCTAAGGCCACTTCTAATGGCTGTCAGTCAGTCACTAGAGGGATTTCCTGGGTTCGGTTCAGCAAAGATTGCAGGAGCGACATTCAACGTCACCACGCTCTGCATGGAGACACGGAATGCTCTGCATATAAATGCTTTGATTCAGTGCATCACCAAGAGGAAATACTGGCTGCAGTGCATACATACTAATGTCCCAATAGGGAAGCATTGGATTGGATGAGATCATCAAGATTGATGATCGCAATGAGGGAGGTGGGGCAGTAGCACAGAGACCAGCGTGGATATAAGGTTATTAAATCTGTTTTTTAACACAGAATGACGGGGGCTCGATAATCTAAATAATGGGTAGAGCACTATAACTTTAGATATACATGTTTTCGGGTAATAGCTACATGTAATGAGAATATAAAAAAAAAATCATATTACTAATAACGGAATCTGTATTTGTTTTATCATTTAAACAGATTAGCTCCCAGAATTCTATAGTGCAAAAAAGATGTGGTAATTCGTGGTTATCGATGATCTTAAATTATCTAGAGACATCTAAGAAGATATTTAGTTTATTAACTCATGCTAAAGGAACTTTTAAATTACTATATGATTGTGCAGAGAAATATCTGATGACAGGGTTGCTTCATTTTCCAAAAATGTTGGTACAAAAAAAGACAAAGATGGAAAACAAAAATATCCAAAGAGAAAATACAGTTCAACGTTGTTTGTAGAGCATTTTCACCAATGATTTATTCTTCCTGAAACGTTCTCATTCAAGGGACGTTCTTACTGATAGCCTTGTGGATAAATGCTCATATTTTTGGCCTGAGAGCTTAATGTGAGTCAGTTATGACTGAGAAGACTATAATTAGTTATGGTCAGCCATGAAAGGAATTTAGCTGGCAAAACGAGGCAAGTTAAAATCATGAAACCTAAGGTTATGTGCTTGGAGAGACCACAAAACTTGATTGCAAAACCAGAAGACAAACACAGACTTTTTTTTATTTTTACCAGTGACTTATTAAATGGTTCTACGTAGACAAATTATTAAACACTTTGGGGGATATCAGTCAAGGTCTGAATGTGCTTCTTGAATTGCAAATGTCGGGAATCATATCCATATTGGACCAAAAATTGCAAATGAGTAGCTACAATTCAGATGCAAAGTTTGATATAGCCATGAATGTGCAAATTTGACTTGGAGCAATTTAGTGTTTCCCAAAAAGAAGTGAAAATATGCCCAGTCAATCACATTGCCTCGTGTATTTCCAAGCAGTGAATAAGAAATGAATACATTAATGTAAATGGCAGAAATTTACGTAAATATCACTTCAGTGAGACGGACAGAGTTATTTTAAGGTCAAAGTACCCAAAATGGAAAAATTCTCTAAGCCAGCTGTGCTATCAGTTCAACTACTTTGGCCTTAAATTTGAAACTCATTTTGAATTCTCGCTTAAGTAAATAAACTCTTTGAGACTCAAAGAATTAAGATGATCCTCTACGTATTGCCATTACCTGTCACTACTCTACTAGCCTGACAAACCTATCCAATTCTAATATTCAAAATGTTTTATGTCACTCTATGTTAAGTACACAGAACTTGTAAAACATCACACAAATTCTTAAGGGGTAGATCTGACCAACCTAAAAGCCCAACTTAGGTCTCAATTTAGTATTTATGGATACATTTTTTTTAAAAGATTTAATATTTTTCAATAAGCTTTTTGATTTTTTTTTATATATATAAATTAAAAAATAAATCATATATAAAAAAATATATAAAAAAAATATAAAAAAGTTTTCAAAATAGTAAATCGTTTTAAACATAATTCCAAATATATTAAATTGTAGTAAAACCTCACAGATTACTTTAAAGTGCAAAAGTTTTTTGCGATAACGTTTGTGCTCTGTCAAAAGAACAAACTTAGTTTCTTCGGGTGCATTCCACTTCCATAACCACAGATACCTTCCACTGGTAGCAAAAAGCAGAGCCGAAAGAAAACTTGAAATAGCCAGACAACTCATTTCTTAGGCTACAGTGTCCAACAAGGGAGCCATGACTATATACATATCATTGGGAAACGTTCTTTCTCAATGCAATACACATTTTAACCTTACACTTGACTGATATGTCTGCTGAAGAACCCACTGTGCCCAACAAGTTTCAATGTCCTACAGTTCATAGTGACATGTTCATTCTCCCTGCCCCACATTACCATACCTCCTGGAAGTTGAAACTGGTGGGGGAGTCCTGATGGGGCGTCACTAGTGCCGTGTGCCGTGTCACTAGCAAATCCCACAATGGGCAGGGCTGCCTGGAAATAATTGTCTCAATTATTGTAACATTTCCCCCCTTTCATAATATTGTAAAGCGGTGCGGAATTAGTTGGTGCTATATAAATAGCAATAATAATAATAAAATAAGGTGCAGTCTTGTCCAAAAAGGGACTTGGACCACCTGAAAAAGAGGCTGGCCCGCACCTTGACAGGCAGCGTGGCTGGCCCCCAGCTATCAGGACCATGCAGGGAGCACTGCTGCAGTGTTCCTTGCATGGTATTAGTGCCTACTGTACAGCAGGACCATATGTAATGTAAAATAGACAAACAAAAAAGGGTAATCTTGTGATCAGGATTATATAGGTGAATGCTGCCAAACAACAATAAAGAGAGCATATAGGTGACCCTACATACAGCTGGAGGGGGACAATAGGTCTTACCCATTTTTTTAAATTTTATTTAGGACCCCATCCACCACCAATGGGTGGCTGCTGGGGGGACAATAGATTCCCCTCCAACTTTATTATTTAGGGCCCCCACCGCCATCAATAGGATCACCCCCACAAATTTTTAGTTTAGCGCCCCCACCTGCTGCAAATCGTCCAGGGCTAGAGGGTGGACCATAGCCTTCCTTATACTAATATGGGGGTCATAACGACCCCCATAGGCCACGGGTGAGAGAGGTAAAAAGAGGGATTTAGGAAGCGGTGGGACGCACAGCTTCTATTTTTGAAAATTACGAGGGGTGATCCACGAGCTAGTACCTCCCTCCTTGTAATTAAAATAAATTAATGAAAAAAATTTCGTGTAGCAAGCAATTCGTTTTTTGGTATTTGTCTTTCTTTGTTCATTTGTCTACCATCATTAGATAACACTCAAAAATCTTGTGAGATAATAGACGAAGGACAGGACAAAGAGTTGAGCATTGTGTGAGAAATTTCTCTAAAAAGGAAATGGAACTTGGGCTCCACAGTTCTGTCACATTTGTCAAGCATAGGAAAAGTCCAGAAGACATCTTTGTCATATGTTTTAAAAAGAAATAGATCAGAAAAGATCAGACTCTGAAAGAGGGAGGGAAGAGGAAAAAGTAGGAGAAATGTCAATTTTAGGTTATAGAGCCACTTTAGGAAAAGCACAGAAGATGCGAATTCTGAATTTTGTCACCACTGTCTCCAAGTCAGACTGTATGATCGTGCTTAGAATCAAGCCTAGGTAGATTACTTTGGAAAGCTGGCGTTTATAAACTAGAGGCAATGTTAAACCTTCTGATTGCATTTAAAATCTATTTAAAGCATCTGCCATTTCTATTGGCTGTGATCTAAATATGGCAATACGCTAAACAACTGTACATGAATACTGCCAAAAATAAATGCTCTCCTAACCCAAACAAGGCTGTGTGAGAACGTGATAGAAATATGTTAAAAGTTTGATCTTGTCAATATCATGTTTTTCTCCTAGAGGTGGTAGAAGGTTGGGTTTTTTCTTTTACTTTTTTTCTTTTTAGAACAAATTTAAACCATCTTTTTACAGTTTTAAAGGTTTTATCGCTATTGATTTCTTTAAACAATGAAAATTTAATCTAGTACTGATTAAATACCAGGAAAAAAAATGTTTTGACTGCTCGTGCAGCAGACAGAATACTCAGAAAATGTTGCAAATTTCTCAGAAAAAGAAAAGGAACTCATTTTGGTCTATTTCAGATTTAGGTTGGTTTGCATGCTGTCTTTTAATATTTTAAATGTGTGTTGAGACAGCCTGCTCCATGGTCCGAACTGACAGACAGCTTCTTCAGAGAACACTAAGACTTTATTTGAACGTACACTGGCACATTATCTGAGTTTTACTAACGTGCTTCCTGTTTAGCTTTTGAAAAGGTCAACATCAAGACTACCGAGGGTACACATCAGAAAGGCCACAAAAATTGGGGTGGGCAAAACCTTTCAACTGCTTGCATAAACACTTCCAGATTTCACTGACATCACATACAATCTTATTCCTGATCAGCGAGAAAGGGAAAGTTCACAGGGAACAGGGAGCAGACATTGTGCAGTTCCTTCCTTCGGTGATGATGGCCCATATGAAAACCAGAGAGACTGCAGACGGGACGAGCTCATCATCGCTAATACCTTGAAAGCGAGAAATACCAACGTTCTGGATTCACTCCAGAATGAATAAGTCAGTTGTGCAAGTAGATAAGTGATTGTGTGAAGGTAGGGGGGACAGTGTAGGAGGGGACCCTTGTACTTACGATAACTTACCCAAAAATAATTTGACACAAGACATAAGTGGTAACAACAGGCCACAGCTTTATTTAAACCAATACATTTTATCAACATAACATATTAATATAACATATCCAGTAAACCGTAACTTTTCATCACTGGATCCATCAACATTAACATGGGCGCCTGCTTCCATCCTTGTCCTTACACCACAACTGGCCTTCCAATATCATCCATGCTAACCATTGGCCAGCCTTTTGACTCAGTGGGCATGTCCTTTAGCCCATACCTTAAACCCGAGGCTAGAGGAGGGAACAGCCCTTAACATTTTTCACTGGACCGCTGGTTCAACCCTGATTGGCAAGGATCTTCATCCGCCTGCTGTGACAAGAAAAGGAAATTAGCCTATACAGATAATACCATAAATACAAACATAACAGGGGAGGGGGGGGCGGGAAGCTGTTCCCAAGCCGGATAATTAAGATGGCTGGGGATAAAAGGAAATGGCTCCCCCTATATATATGGCCATCCCCCTTAGCCTATATCCCCACCCCCCAAAATACAGGACTTCCCTTCCTTGAACTTTTCTTCACTCCCCCTCACCCCCACTCACACATGTCCCAGTTCCCAGCTTGCCCTTTGGTCTGCCTCCTCAGGGTCTGGGTTGCTGGTGGTTTTTGTTATACTACCCAAGAGTTTACCTTCAGGTCTAAGACTCATCCCAGATTGTAGGTAGACACATTGGACTCATAAATAGGAAGCTATAATATACCATGTGCAGACTATACCAGCACTGTCCTAATTAGCAAAATTAACTGGCATCTATAACAAAATGATAGTAGTATTACAATTATTGGCATTAAATAGTGCCACCTTAATTATGTAATAATAAATTAGACAATTTCAAAAAGTTAAAGGAACAATAGGTTGAAGAGGACCCTGCTCAAACAAGCTTACAATCTAGAGATATGTAGTGGAAGCACACAGATTTTACATATAAAGAGGCATAGAAAGCTTCTAGCAATATGAGTATTAATTTTAACTTAGATCTGTCATAATGTATAAATATGTGTTTGTGTGTATATATTATATATTAAGATAAAATACCAGGGCTCTAAATTTGAAGTCCTGTGCTACTAGCCAGATGTTAAAAGTTACTAGTCATTGCAAGCCATAGCATATTCACCATGCGTGAATTTCTAGTCACCAGGGATACATTTTCCCTCGCCAGTGGCTAGCGGCAAGTGGACATGCAGAACCCTGAAAATACTATGTATCGTATTTACTTGAATCTAATTCGCTATCAAATCTAATGCGCACTTAAAATTTTGGAACCTGGAAGCTGAAAACTGTTTCCGTTGGCAAATATAACACGCGTTTGTTCAAGAAGATACTAGTATACAATATCGTGCATTATTTTATTTTTTTGTAATTTTTTTATATTAGCTCTTTATAACACAGATTGCTCCTCCCTTAACAACCGAGTTCCGTTCCTACAACAGTTGTTAAGTGAGGATCGCCCTCTTTCCGGGGTGAAATTTACTGGTGAATTTTGAAAATCGCCAGCCAATTTATTCGGATTTAATGTGCTTTCAATTTCACTTCAAGTTTTGGAAACTTTATTTTGCCAATAAAGGTGCGCATTAGAGGTCCTTACATATAAATATCCATATAAATATATAGATTTTTTTTAGTATGATTAAACCCATTTAGTGGACAAAAGAACAGATGTGTCCAGTGTACTTTCTACTGGTTGTTCTCATTTTCAAACAAACAAGGTTCCCATTAGAAATTTTACCATGATATGCCTATGATTCTCGTGTTGAAAGAAGCCTTTTTCATTTTTGATAGCAATCTAGAATTTGAGGAAACATCTGCATTCATTTAGAGGGATCTGCGGATTTTCAACAGATGCTTAAACATTGTACAAATTTGTTCGTCATTTTCTACTTATCCGGCATTTCTCCTTTTTATTTATTTATTTGTTTGTAGTCCCATTAAAAAAAAAAAAAAAATGCACATGGAGTGATTTGAGTTTTCTCACAGTGGTTTGGAAAGGTTTCGTTTGGAGTCATGTATTGCCCACTTTGGTTTTTCATTCGACTGTAAAGTTCTGATTAACAAGAGTTTTATAGACTACCTTGTCTTGCTTGGAAAAATGGGCCACTTCACATCTAGCGGTAGGTCAGGAGCAATGTTACTATTAAAAATAATATAAAACTTTTGGGTATAACCTTTCCCTGTAAAGGAATTCAACCATCATATATTATAAAATTACATCAATTCCCCTTACAATCTAAAGTGAGCCAACCTTCCTGTCTGCGGTAAATATTGAGCGCTTAGATTTTTGCCATACTCATACTTTTTAGCTAAAATGTACAGAAATAAAATATAACACTTTCTGTAGCAATAACTGGACCTTTATTTCACAAGTTGCTAATAAAATATATCCTGGCAGCCTGTATATATTTTAAAATAGAGGTTTGCTGCACTGGTCCTAGAAGAAGGTTGAATATATATTAATTAATTGGTAGAGAGAAATCAATCAAAATTGCCAAAATCTACAGATTTTAAGCCAAACTAGTACGCATTCAAAGGCATCCAAGTTTGTCGCCGAAAATACTTAACCCTATAATGTTGACAAATGGCCTGGGACGTCAATTAGGACATCAATTGCCGTGTCAAATGGCCTGGGACGTCAATTAGGATGTAATTTGTCATTAAACAGCAATTGCAGATGTAAATCTTCGGTCAACCAAATAAGTGCCAATCTGTTGAGTGAAACAGAAAAGTTGTAAGGTGTGTATTATAACCTCCGATCAAGAAAAAATTTTTTTAGAGTCATACATCAACTGAATGTTCAGAAACACAAACCTGGGCATCTTCACCAAGATGGCCAAAACCTTCTGATGCCACAACTATCTACATGACATATAGACTTCATGATATTGTTTATTATTTCAATAATGTAGGCAATAGTTTTACATCATGAAGGACCTAGAGTACAAGAGCTACCACTGGCACCCAGAGTCCTCTCAAGCTTTTTAGCATAGTTATCAAGTCTGGAACCTTGAGTAAATGTTGAACGCAAAGGGTTGACTTGAGGTAACATTGTTGTAGTAGCAGGTTAGGTGATGACATACTATAGTTCTTGTGTGAAGTAGATACTGCAAGCTGGTATGCCTGGGGAAGAATGGGAGTTGTTATGGAATTAAGGAATGAGGAAAACCCGTTCTGGTAGGGAGGGTGGTGGAAGGTCACTAACAAGGAGGCTGGACAGCTATGAATAAAAGAAGAAGTGGACTGATATTGAGGATTAGAAATAAAACTGAAGTAAGACTGAAATAAAAGACGGGACAGGGGACAAACATAGGGAATGAAAATGGGTTACCACACTACTACTGTTGTTTTCTGTTATTTCCACATTATACGGTAATTCTACCAAGTTTACAGAGAGATAATAGGAACTGCACTCAGTCTTCATAAACCAAGAGGATGCTTAACTAGACCATGGGCCAACACCAGCCCAACAGAATATAGATGCCAGTTGAAGAATGAGGTCCAGGCACCCCAATACTTTTTAGGCACATTTATTGGAACCAAGAGAAGACCCACAAGATGGGTCTTAGCTTGACAAAGACCCTCTTGGGGGTCAAAACATTGCAGTGTTCCACTGGTTCCAATAAATGCGCCGAAAAAACATTTCAGTGCCTGGACCTTATTTTTAAACTGGATTCCACCAAATTTAAGCTGCTAGAACACTATAACTATAGAATATTTCCCATAAATATGTGCCACCAAGCAGACTGTTTTGCTTAATGTGACTGATTTAGATACTCTTTTCTTATATGTCTCCTACCTTACATACCACTTGGCTTCGATTTATTTTATTATGTAAAGCTTGTGAATCATTGTAAGACCTCTATAGAGGTTTAAATTATTTACAAAAAATAGAAATAGAGGATAGGAGAGGATGGATAATGAAAGTTCGAGAAGCTGACTGGCGTAAATAAATGATAGTGGGGTAATGGAATTCATGAATCGGAAATAAAAATGGGGAACAGAGGAACCAAAATAAATAAATAGTAGGTCTGGGCACAAACCAGTAACATAGTTTCCTTCAATGTTTCAAACTCAAAAACATTCAGTGTTTTTGTTCTGCATCGTACTAATTGTCTCCTGCCCAAAAGGAGAAAAATCTCAGTTGGGAGCTATTGAGATAGACTCTTGGATCACATACACTTATTCACACTTTTGAATATGCTTGCAAAAATGTTAATATATACATTACAGTTACAATTGAGAATCAGATTTGTGCATGAGGTCTATTCCAGCAGAATCAGTCCCATGTATTATGTTATTTTAACACCTTCAATGATTCATGCCTTTAATCTACATATTATGTATAGGATATCTTCAGCACAAGTAAACTTGTGGCTGCTTTGAAGAGTGCTCAACCATATTATGCTTTTTCTGAAATATAAACTACTATTTTTTTTTTTTAAATAAACACCAATCAGAGACATACATTTAATGTTTGGGAGTCTCTGGAAAATTTATAAAAAAAAAAAAGCTTTGATTGGAAATTCACAAAGACTATATTTAATAAAAGTGTTTTTTTTTGTTTTGTTTTTTTTAAAAAACATGCAAAACAATAAGAACACAAACCCCCAAATTATGTTATAAAAGAAGATAAAAAGTAAGTACAAATTCTATTTAAAAAAGTAAAAAAATAAAAATGAAATATAAACAAGTACAAAAAAATAAAAATAGAAATGTCCTTTAGCACTTCTATGAGTAAAATGAAAACAAAAAAAAAATTAAACAAACTCTGTAGGGAAGATTTTGACCGAGATAAGGTTAAATCTCTAAAGTGTGAATATTTAGAAGGCTTCGAAAAAAATGTGAACCTTAACTCTGCGGTTTCTAAAAGCAGGAACAATGTCTGCAGGATTTGTTTTTTTTTTCTATGTTCTTTGGACTGATGCCCATGATGTTGAACTTCACAAACTATAAATGTTATTTTTATTTTCTTTACGCGCTGTCTTGAGCGATTAAAACTATTGTGGATATCTTACGCAACAGGGTATTGGGCAATATTATCTGAGCACCTTAATTAATTTAATCTTTAAACAATCTCACAGCGATTATATCTTCCAAGCAAAGTAAAATAAGGGTCACATTAGGGAATGTTCAATGTTCTAACATAATAAGGTAATTCAGGAGATATATATATATTTTTTTTATACTTGACTAGTTAAATAAATAATAACAATGTGACAGTGTGTACATAACAATACAAACAAAGACAAGACCAAAGTCGAGTGCTGTATAAATGTCTCAAGAACCCTAACATTGTATTCGTTTCCCATAATACACGTACACATTTTTTTTTTTGTCTTTGAATTTATAATGCCATGTTTAGAGTTCCATTTTAGATAAATATCAAGATGTACAAGTCTTAGATTGGTAGGATTCACACTCCTGGCCAGCGACTACTGACATACCGGAGAAGAGCTGTGAAGTGGTGGCAGTGTGTCTTTCTCTGTCTGTTATCAACATTGTCAATAATTCGGTCTCTGTTCTGTTATTAATATACCATGGAGGGACAGTGGAGAAGACACATACCATCACCATCATGCTTCATCTCCACAGCCCATCTCCTGACATGCCAGTAAATGAAGAGCGTCTGAAATAAGCATAGCAGCCCATATACCTATGAGTGTAACCCTCACAAGTGTAAGTCAGCCACCAATGCACTTGAAGTCTTTCTAGATACATTCATGGTTTACATTATTATTTCCACCATTTAAATACTGTGTAGAACCTCCTGTTTGCTCCCAAAATAGCTTGTATTACTTGCAGCATGGATCCAAAATGTTCATGGAACCAACTAAAGATGATATGAGTTATATGACGTGGTGATTTATCCCCTGAACGAAGCAGCCATTAGAAGAGCTGAAATACAGAGACACGACAATACCTGCATAGAAAGGTCTAATTTGTATCCAAAAAATGTTCCATTCCAAAATAACACCATTGCACCCCAGCAGTATGGATAAATGACGCAAAACAAGACGTGTCCATGGCTTTGTGTTTTATATACTAAATTTTGTATTTTCCTATGTATGTTGCATGTTGAAGCAGAAATAGAAAGTTGTCAGAACAGATCATGTTGGTAAATTTGATTTCTGAAACAATACTAATTGTTTAATTAAATATAATTATTTAATTGCTGTCTAATTGTTTTATTATGTGCAAGTTGTTTAATTATTGTAGAGTGTGGGAGTATATATTACACTGCACTTGAAGAGCTTCTGGACTGTAAATATTGTTTCAGTTAATGTTTTGGAGATTATCTGCATTTGGAGCACCAATTTGCTACCTACATGAGTGCAGTCCATCATTTTGGTGTATTGGTAAATGTCCTGTTTTGGTGGACCTGTACCCACTGTAGCTTCAGTTTTCTGTTTTTCGTTGACATTCGTTGGCAACATTCCATTCACTTCTAGGTTTGTTACTTTGTGCATTCAAAGACACTCGTTGATGAATCAAGTTCTTCACTTCCTGACATCTTCAACCAGTCTATCCCTTCTCCACTGATCTCTCTCTATAACAAGGTGTTTTCACCCACAGAATTGCCCTTCACTGGCTGTTTCTTCAGGTACCTGTTTTCCCATTAGGTCCCTGTTATCCACATGATGACATAATACTTGTGAAAGTTTGGAAATAATGAGTGGTGACTAAGTCATCCTTGGAAATGATTGGAAGTGGAGGTGGAGCTTTATTAACACAAAGGGAAGACATGATTTATGAGTGATTGTGGTCATCCTAAAGTTGCAGTAGTAAGTTGTTCAGGAAATAAATTGTTGTAAGCAATAATTAGAGCATACGCTATATGACAAAATGCAAAGAATATAGCTCAGGCAAAGTAAAGGCAAAATATGTAAACCAAGAATTTTATTAGTGCAAATACTTGATACAACCCAGTGTGACAGTCCCATGGATGGTGCAGCAATGGGAGTGGGGATGGTGTAAGTTTCCTGAATAGAACTTACTGAGAACTGAGGTGGTCGGTGTAGAAATACTCAGAAACATGAATTGTGATTGTAGATTAAAAAAGGGATTTAGATATTCTAGGTTCCTTTATTGCACAGTCTGTTTCATCTAGAATGTCTTATCCCTGCTCCAATAGTAGCCTACTAGTGTAACGGATCACCTGGCACCCCGACTGGGTACCTCCGTTGAAGGATGCTCCTTCCTGAGGGCTCCAAGCACTCCAGCAGACATCATAACCACCGTAGACTCCTTCAGCAAGCAAAACAGGAACAAGCTCTTAAAAGAACTTAGTAGTGATTATAGCAAGAGAGTATGACTAGCATAGCAATCCCTTGTAGTGATATAGCAATTCCCCCAATAAGAGACAGGACTCTAGATTGAGGGTGAAGAAGAACTGACTGTACTGGCACAAACAGCCTCTTTTATTCACATTCTACAAACATAGTACTGCCCATAGAACAACCAATCAACACATTACAACACTCCCATTCGTTACATCAGAAATCCTCACCTCTGCCTGTGATACAATTATCTCAACACAATAGACTAACTTAATAATCACAGGCAGGAAAATACAGTATTATTATTATTATGATAATTATAGAGCGCCGTCAAATTCCGCAGCGCTTTACAATGGGTGGACGAACAGATATGTAGCTGTAACCAGACAAGTTGGACACACAGGAACAGAGGGGTTGAGGGCCCTGCTCAATGAGCTTACATGCTAGAGGGAGTGGGGTAAAATGACACAAAAAGGTAAGGATAGTATTAGACTAGTGACAATTGCAGAAGAGGAATCAGTCAGGAGCTATTAACAGTTTAATTGATACGCTTTTATGAAGAAGTGGGTTTTTAACGATTTTTTTGAAGGAGTGGAGACTGGGTGAGATTCTAACGGAGGAGGGAAGCGAGTTCCACAGGAACGGTGCAGCCCTGGAAAAGTCTTGAAGGCGAGCATCAGAGGTGGGAGTACGGACAGAAAATAGACGTAATTCTTCAGCAGATTGTAAGGGCCTAGACGGGACATACTTGTGTATAAGAGAGGATAGATAGGTGGGAGCAGCATTATGTAGAGATTTGGAAGCAAGAACTAGAATTTTAAATTGAGCTCTATATTTTATAGGAAGCCAATGTAGAGACTGACAGAAGGGTGAGGCATGGGAGGTGCGGGCGGACAGGAAGATGAGCCTCGCCGCCGCATTCATTATGAACTGTAACGGCGCAAGTTGGGAGCACGTAAGACCACTGAGAAGCGGATTACAGTAGTCAAGGCGAGAGAGGACATAAAACATATCACAGGGACCCCAAAACATGCAATAACCCTATAAAAAATATATATATATCCTCGGAACCGGGGGATCTGGGTGAACCACATATCCAAAATTCACCCAGATCCGTTCAGTAGTTTGGAAGATACAGTTTAATGCAGATTCCGCAGAACATATACAGGCTATATGAAAAATAATTACTGTTAAATGTGTCCCCTGTTCTGTAGTTTAAAACTACTGAACGATGTCTTTGAGCACCAAATAATGGCGAGATGGCACCGTGTAGAAAAGTCCAAACAGTGTCTTTGAGTTAAAATGGCCGCCATCCATTGTTCTCACCATGTGCTTCATCCATTGTTCTCACCATGTACCTTTGATACATGAAATGGTGGCCACCCAGTAACTCCACAGTTTGTCTGGTAGTCTATCCAGCCGAACCAACAGATGAAACACATGAGGAACAGTGCAACAAACGAAGGGAATCATAAAATATATGGACAATAGTCATATTTGTGCACAATCTCCAGTTTTGTCACAGGGCACAAATAGTGTTTTCAAATGCCATATATGCCAGGGCCATAGTCAGAAGGTAGGAGGCGGGCAAGCAGCCCCCTCCAAGAACACGTGGCGAGGTTTGTTCCGCCACAACTAGAGCCTACAGAATCCTGTGTGTGATTAAAGTTCAATTTATAAAGCAGGAGATAAAAGCTTTAAATGCAAGTTAACATCTGATTGAACATGAAACTTTTGTTTTCATGCAAGCTGTGTGAGTGAGAAACAAAAATGATTTAACGCCTAATTTAACATAGAGAATTGAGCAGTGAGACTGCAGAGGCATCATCTGTACAGTTGTTTTGATACCTATAGTGTCCCTTTAACATATCCTATAGCCATGGGTAACACATATATACTTTTCTAAAATTTAAATCCTGTACCTATGTAGTACACACTGCACTGCTGATACTTACTCAAATGTAAATCACTGACACATGGTTAATATTTTTTACATTTTTAAAAAGAGAACCTTGAACGTTATTCACCCCCCAGAAATATAATCCAGATTACTGCTGAGCTTTCATCCTCTCTCATAGCGACTCATGCAACGACAGGTATAGCTGTCTTAAAAAATTCGATCTGAGCCATTAGCTAGACTGCTTTCTAATATATGCTAATTTAGGGATACCCAAATAATTATGGGAAATGTTTTAAAACAGTACCTAGTGAGCTAAATGTTGACATTCCCTGTACTTACAGTATGTTATTAAAATTGACAATCTCTATAGATCTGATCTAGGCCAACCCTAATATGCAACACATGAAGTGAACTGCAAAATATCACTCACTATAAGACTGAAGACATGTCTTTGCAACATATCTGATCAATTTAGAGGATCTATAGGTTAGGTCAATTTCTGTCCTTCGTGCTCCAGTCGTACAAATTCTCCTATTATTGACCTTGCGGTTAAGTTCTTTTTTTTTTTTTTCAGTATCATAAAATATCAGGCTGTAAAATTCATATTGTAAGTTTAACAACCACATCTGTTTTAAACATTTTTGTTTTAAGAACTCAATGTGAATTTAACGACCAGGTAATAAAATCTAAAAGTTGAAGGAAATTATCACAGATGTGTAAAGCCATAGGATAGGTTCCTGCAATATGAGTTGCAGTCAAATTACAAAGAGAATCTCCAACTGCCTTTATTACGGTAAAATATCCTGTTTAAGCATCTCTTGAGTTAATCTGTAAGCTAAACACACACACGTTTTGGGAAATGTTGTCATTATAGCTTGTGTACACCAGGGATCAAAATTTTTTTTAGTCACCTTAGAAATTATAGAAATTATTATTTTAACTGCTAATCCCTCTGAAATTATTTTTGGACATATTAAATTGGATCTCGCTACACATCATTCTTACATCATAATCATTGTTTTCTGTATATAGTGGTTTACAGACATTTATGAAATATGTACAACACTCTAAACAACACAATAAGAATATCAGAATTTAATTGAGAGACCCCAGTCACTTCCTGTTTTTTGCAGGAATTCTTTTTTAATGTTTTTAATATATATTTTTCAAATTTATATTTTTTTTTATTATTAATTTTCTCCAGTAAAACAGTACTGTACTTTACACTGCCCCTTTCAATTAATATGCATTGCTATTTAACAACGGGTACATCTATTTCTCTTGATATCAATGTGTGTATGTTTCAAACATAAAATTCAGAAAATTTTTAAATATAACCAAATCTTTCAATTTCTACATCATTTACAATTTTTTTCAGCATTAAATCAAGAAAAATAAGATTATTTTTTAAAACCCTCCACTTTTTATAGTTATAACAGTATTATTTTTAATGCCATAAAACTAGACTAAATAATTCAAGTTTTAGAAGTTATTTTAGGAGCATATAAAAAAATAAAATGGGCTACTGCATTTATATTCCATATGTATTATATATGTTATCAAAACAGAGGAAGTATTTTGGGCAGTGTCTTCAGTAATTTAATGAACCGATGCGGAATTACATGGGTTGCTCCCGAGCGGCCGTTTTTTGCAAACTTTCGCAGCGGGTAGAAGACGTGCTGAATTTGTTCAGGTGACCACTTTGGTACAAAAATATTGACTAAGTTTGATGCTATTGGCAGTCAATCAGTGAACAGAAAGTTTGTGGTCTCAACCCTAGAGAATAAAGTAACTAAAATTTGAAGAAAAAAAAATATATATATATTTATAAAAAATAAAATAAAAAAAGATGTGTGTTAAATGGAATTTGTGTGATTATTAATGATTCCAATTCAAGAAACATTGAGAGTCCCATATGGGTCATTACTTTTTGGCAAAAAGAGGCTTGGAGGTTTTTTTAAATGCTCTTTAGAAACATAATATACTTTTGCCAAACTTTCCTCTAGATTTTATTCTAAAAACTGGCATATCACGAATATACAATATATTCATGGTTATTATTATTATCGCCATTTATATAGCGCCAACAGATTCCGTAGCGCTTTACAATATTATGAGAGGGGGGATTTAACCATAAATAGGACAATTACAAGAAAACTTACAGGAACGATAGGTTGAAGAGGACCCTGCTCAAAAGGATTTGGCTTTATTTCTCATGGTAGCTCTGTTTGGAATGGAGATAAGCTGTACAAAAAAGATGGTTTGCATCTTTCTCAAAAGGGAACAAATGTTCTTAGTGAGCAGTTCAGAGGTTTTGCTAGGATGTATTTAAACTAGGAGGGGGGGGCAAAAGGGTGATAAAACATCAATCCAATTGTCCCCCAAAACAAGGACAGAAGGTGCCTGTAGCAAGTGTGTTAAAAATGATAAGCTTAGAGTCATGTCTACAAATGCTCGCAGTTTAGGGAATAAGATCCATGAACTTGTAGCAATAATGGCAACTGATAGTGTAGATTTAGTCGCTGTTACTGAGACATGGTACAATGAGAAAAATGACTGGGACACAGCAATACCAGGGTACTCTTTATATAGAAAAGATAGGGAAGGCAAGAAAGGGGGAGGGGTGGCCTTGTATGTGAAGGATAGCATAAAATCTAGCCTAATAAAAGTTAGTGAGACAAACATAGAGTCCGTTTGGGTTACGTTAGAATTTGGTAATCACACAGTAACTCGTGTAGGTGTGATTTATAGGCCCCCAGGACAAATAGAAGAGTTAGATAATCTACTAGTTGAGGAAATAGCTAAAATGACAATGAAGGGGAAGTTATCATCATGGGTGACTTTAATCTTCCTGATGTAAATTGGAAAACAAAATTAGCTACTTGTGCCAGGAGCACACATATTCTAAACTCCCTACTGGGATTGTCTCTAAAACAAGTTGTTGAGGAGCCAACTCGTAAAGAGGCCATACTAGATTTAGTGTTAACAAATGGAGATTTGGTATCAGATATTACTGTAGGTGAAAGTTTAGGATCCAGTGATCATCAGTCAGTGTAGTTTAATATAAGAACAGTGACTGAGTCACACCACACAAAAACAAAAGTTTTAGACTTTACAAAAACAGACTTTTCTAAAATTAGAATATGGGTAGAGGAGTCATTATCAGACTGGAGCAATTTAAATGGAGTCCAAGAAAAATGGGATTATTTAAAAGTTGTACTATTGAAGGCAACAGAAAATTGCATTAGGCTTGTCAGTAAAAGCAAAAAATTCAAGAAACCACTGTGGTACTCCGCAGATGTGGCCAAAATAGTTAAAAACAAAAAGTTAGCATTTAGGAATTATAAAAAACCCAGAGTGAGGGAGACAAAATGATCTATAAGATTAGGCAGAAAGAGGCTAAGCAAGTTATAAGAGCTTCCAAATCACACACAGAAGAGAAAATAACACAGTCAGTAAAAAAGGGGGATAAAACATTTTTTAGATACATAAATGAGAAAAGAAAAGTAAAACAAGGATTAGTTAGATTAAAAACAAAAGAAGGAAGGTATATAGAAGAGGATAAAGGTCAGGCTGACTGCCTCAATTAATATTTTTGTTCTGTATTTACAGAAGAAAATGAAGGAAAGGGACCTCAGTTGAGAAAAAGGATAAATGAGTCATTTATTACACGTGAGTTTACAGAGGAAGAGGTTCTATTTCAGCTGTCAAAAGTAAAGACAAATAAGTCAATGGGACCTGATGGAATACACCCAAAGCTATTAAAAGAGCTTAGTGGTGTACTAACAAAACCATTAACAGATTTATTTAACCAATCATTGTTAACAGAAGTAGTCCCAGAAGATTGGAAGTTAGCGAATGTTGTGCCCATTTACAAGAAAGGTAATAGGGAGGAGTGGGGCAACTATAGGCCAGTAAGCCTTACTTCAGTAGTGGGGAAAGTGATGGAAACCATGTTAAAGGATAGGATTGATGAACATCTAAAAACACATGGATTTCAAGATCAGAGACAACATGGGTTTACTTCAGGGAGATCATGCCAAACTAATCTTATTGATTTTTTTTTTGATTGGGTAACTAAAATTATAGATCAGGGTGGTGCAGTAGACATTGCTTACCTAGATTTCAGTAAGGCTTTTGACACTGTTGCACATAGAAGGCTTATCAATAAACTGCAATCTTTAAGTTTGGATTCAAATATTGTTGAATGGGTAAGGCAGTGGCTGAGTAACAGGCAACAGAGGGTTGTATTTAATGGAATATATTCGAAGCTTGGACTTGTCACCAGTGGGGTACCTCTGGATTGCGGGATAAAACTTACCAGGAAAGGTTAAAGGATCTTAACATGTATAGCTTGGAGGAAAGACAAGACAGGGGGGATATGATAGAAACATTTAAATATACAAAGGGAATCAACACAGTAAAGGAGGAGACTATATTTAAAAGAAGGAAAACTACCACAACAAGAGGACATAGTCTTAAATTAGAGGGACAAAGGTTTAAAAATAATATCAGGAAGTATTACTTTACTGAGAGGGTAGTGGATGCATGGAATAGCCTTCCAGCTGAAGTGGTAGAGGTTAACACAGTAAAAGGAGTTTAAGCATGCGTGGGATAGGCATAAGGCTATCCTAACTATAAGGTAAGGCTAGGGACTAATGAAAGTATTTAGAAAATTGGGCAGACTAGATGGGCCAAATGGTTCTTATCTGCCGTCACATTCTATGTTTCTATGTTTCTATGTTTCTTACATTCTATAGGTTATTTGTTAAATCAGGAATTCTCATGAAATTTAAATGGAATGTTGCCATTCTTGATCATAATAGCTTAACTGGAAAAAATGTCAAATCTAGCTAAATTTCCACTTGTTATTTTGATCTAAAATTCCAAATTCTCTCTTCAATTATTGTCCAATCAAACAATGTAGGCGTTTTCCGTTGAAATACAGGAAGAGATCTATAAAAGACATAAAAATATCTATATCACAGTATGTTTTTTTGTACACATAAGGTTAAACAATAGAACAGAAATGTGAAAGAAGCAGATTTGAAGATCGTTTTGCAGATATTTCAAGTGTGATTCCACATCTTAATATAGAAAGGTCTTTGTTAAAAAGGATGTACTATCTATTGTCATCTTTAACGTTTCATCAAGTTACAGTTGTGATTTACTTCACATTTATTTATTTAAATCGGCAATGCCAATTTAGAGCATTCATAGATTCTGTTTTGCTCTGACAACATTTAGGTGAATGGAGAACATCAAGTACGGAGGGTGAACATCAGTTAAGTATATCTCATTTCTCAAGTTGGACTTTGAGGGATCCTTCTTGGGCATAAAAACTTGAGAAATCATGTCTCCACAACTATTTCAAAGTTCCCAGCTTAAACACTGCGGTTTTTAAATCAAAGCATGTGCTATAATCCAAAAGGATCAATCACATTCCACAAGCAGTTTGGTTCAACCTATCAGATCAGTTTTTGAAATTCTTGGAAGCAATGCAAACCTTAAAGGGACTCTATAGGCACAAGAACAACTTTAGCTAAATGAAGCAGATTTGGTGTGTAGATCATGCCCCTGCAGTCTCACTGTTCAATTTTCTTTCACTTAGGAGTTAAATCACTTTTGTTTCTGTTTCTGCGGCCCTAGCCACACCTCACCGGGCTCTTACTGACGCAGTTTGCATGAAAAAAATGGTTTCATTTTCAGATGTTAGCCTGCTTTAGAAGTTTATATATCCTGAACTTTAATCTCACACAGGTGCGTCTCATCAGCATTATGCTGGTTCTGGTTTGGAAGTTGAAGTCTCTCTTAGAGCATATAGCCAGGTACCAAACAGATTTTGGGGAGGCCACACACAATACAACTCCCTACAGAGCAAATACAAAAAAATGTTGTTGTGCATCACCTGCATATCTTTAGTTGGAATTTAAGAGGTTCTTCTTGGGCATAGCATCTTGACAAAGCATCTTTTCAAAACTATCCCAGAGTTCCCAGCTTGACATGCAAATCAACATGGACAGGCATTGTGTTTCAGACTTCTCACCGCAGTTCTGCATATACAATGGATGCTGTTTTTACTAATGCAGACATTCATGCTGAAGTTCACTCAATAATATTTCGTAGGATTCTTCTGTGGAAAACGGACCACAGTGTGGAAGAAAAATACCCACATTGCACAAAAGCATATCCTTCTTCAAATTATATTCTGTCCCCTTTCTATCTGCCAGGACTTAACTCGATATTTTGACCCTACACTGATATCAATGTATAACATATTTGCCTTTTAAAAAAATCTACCTGTCTGTAAGGCTGAGAAAGGTTATTTATGGAGACAGTGACACAGCAAAGGAGAAAGTGGATGGCTATAATGACGCAATGAATGAGGAATGGGACAGCTATAGTGACATAGAGTTGTCGGCAGAAAGGATATGGAACCAGAGTTTCCATCAAAGGTGGGAGACAGCAAGCAATGCGGATCAAAGCCTACTCACTGTCCTTGCCCTCACTTTGAGTTGAAAGCATGTGAGAGAAGGTTGACTCTGTCAGAACTATTCAATAAGTGAGAATTCAAAGTAAATTTCAAATTTAATTTTAAAGTAACCAAACAGGAAAACATCTCAGCTCCATGGAGATCCATCAGATTCCCCCTATGGTCATAGATGTCCCAGAAGTCCAATGTTCTCCCACAACAGGCCAGGGCCATTATAGTCCTCACACTCTGGCACATCATCCTCGGCCATCCATGGTATATTGCCGGACCGCATACCACCGTAAAACCCAGTAAGCCTAGTCCAGAAACAGTTACTTTCAGCTATTCCTTTAATATGGCTTCTCTGGCCTTAAATGTGAAATTAGTTTTGAATACTCACTTTAGGAAATAACTGTGTAATTATTTGGTGCCCTGACTAATGCTCTTGGATCTTAATTTGACTCTATAGACAATTTTATTAAGGACATCGCAAAGCCTCAGCCTAAATATGTAATCCTTCTTCGGAACAGGCATCCTCTTGAGTCTGATGTTAGACCAAGACCACCTACCTTAAAACCTACTCATGCAGTCATTTATTGCATGTAGGCTGCTGATACCATCCAAGCAAACTTTCATATGGCCCAGCTGTGCCGTGTAAATGTACTTATGGTGCATTTCAGAACAATGCATATTTTTCTCTATTATTGATTGAGCTTATACATTTTATTTCCTGTAAATCCGTCGGAGCCCTGGAGCAGACTTGGTAGAATGCCACCAAAACTTGTACTTGTTCTGTATTTCATCCTGTATTCTATTATCTTCCCATGTAAAGAAAAAAAATTCAAAGTCACGCACAAAGAAATATAATTGCTGTAATTAGACCAGTTTTTTTGCCAGTTTTGAACGAGAAAGCATGAATTTCACTAAGCCCGTTTGGTCGTTGAAGTAGAATGGGCTAGAACATGATTGCGTCTTCTGCTGATACATTCTTGGCATTTAAGGCCTGGCAAATCAATTCCTCTGGCACAGTTCATAAAATTGACACCTCACCTTTATTGCCGCAGACATAATTTACAAGTAGCCATACAGAGACATAAACAGCTGTGAACTGGGAAAAACAATGTGATCCCAGACAGCACAGACATTAACTTTTTGTGATCCTGTCTAAGCCTTGTTTTATTTCCTTGCACTGTGCTTGGGTTTTATAAAGTGCCAATGTTCATTTTAAAGGCATCATCCACACTAATAAAACACGTCGCGCGTTGACCTGTATGGATGACGCACCCCTGACTTAATACTGACTCTCTCCTCCTGCGCTTGGAGACGACTGTAGTAGAGGTCAATAACGCAACAGCATGCTGATCCCCTGTACACTTCATTCAGGGTTTAAGCACCCTGTAGGATGACTGGGTGGCAGATCCGTAGCCCTAAATTAGTAATCTAACCTTGCATTGAATATTGCCAAGTTTATCTATCTATTTTTCTATCTATCTATCTATCTATCTATCTATCTATCTATCTATCTATCTATCTATCTATCTATTTATCTATTTATCTATCTATCTATCTATCTATCTATCTATCTATCTATCCATGCATCCAATCTATGTATGTCCTAATGTCATAAGTTTTTAATTGAGATTTCAGCTTCCTACTCTATTTATATAGTCAGCTCTCTGGGGGCAAATAGCACTAGGAGGATTGTAGCCTTCCTTTCTTCGAAGGTCCTATTGCATTTGCAAGTGCTTCACCCTTTTCAAAAGGCTTTACAAAACAAACCTGGTGATTGTTAACTCTAGTAATGGTGAAGGAAATAAGTGGATTAACCCCTTAAGGACACATGACATGTGTGACATGCCATGATTCCCTTTTATTCCAGAAGTTTGGTCCTTAATGGGTTAAAAGGCCAATTCTCAACACTATCATAGCAACACTTTTTTTTTTTACAGTACTTAGAGTATTCAAATTTTACCATATGACAGGAGGCTTCATATTTTGCATTAACTTTCTTTACTAACTCCATAGCAGCAAAGAAAAAACAGGTGAAACATTGAACCAATCAGAACACAGTCAGAGTGTAAAGCATATCCAAGGCGCTTCCTCTTTCTTTGCTGCTCCATCACAAGTCAGCCCAGAGTACTTATTTACTGTTTCTGTTTTAATCTGAAACCTATTTTATGTGACTACTGTATTTCCTTTCTGGTGGGGGTGATGTGGGGCTATCTCTTTATCTACACCTCTCTTGTGGGGCTGTATATTTATTTTCTTATTGGGATTCTGTCCCCTCTTTCCTCAGGCCTTCCCCCTGTGGCTACATTAGCCACTTTCCCTGGTTTTCCCGCGTCGTTCGTATTGATTTCAGTGCGTTCGGGCAGGGAATACTATTGCTTCGTGCATATAGGAACTAACGGGACATTCGTGGCTTTTTTCCCATTCGGGCCTATTCTAGTGCCTGTTCGCATACCGGCAACTTTCAGCGCTCGGTAGCTTTTATGCGAACGGACCGGTCGTGGGTTTCTCTGTTTGCGTCTAATAGCATTCGCTTTGAAATTTGTACGGTTTCCCGCGAACATGGTTCGCGGGCTTTCAAGCACCATTTTAGCCCCAGTTCTCGCGTGACCCACAGCGGCCATCTTGTTGGTGCTGTTAGTCAGGGATTTTATTCCCATCACGAAGAGGCTCTCTGTGATTTTGTTTTTTGCTGTCCAGCTGTACTGTTCATACTGTCAGGGACCTGGTCAGGTTGGTGTTATACCCCTGGGGAGTGGGACTGCCAGTCCAGTATAACCTAGTATTCCAGAAAGGGGTAAGCCCCGATTTGTGTACGACTCAGAGTGCTGCTGAGTGGAATCTGTCTTTGCAATTCTGGTTTCCTGGGTGAGCCCCAGTGATTGTAATAGAGTCTGCTTAATCTGTAACATGCCATTAGGCTGTGTTTAAGTTTAAGACCCACGGCCCAGCCTGTTTCACATTCCTCCTTACTGGTTCCTCCACCTCTCCTACCTGTGCCTGATGGTTATCGTATCCATATAGGCCTATCATGGAAGGCATGCCCGGCAAAACGCCATTGGAAGGGCGAGGGCTTCAGGAACAGCCCTGGCAAAGGTAAGTGTAATGTTTTGCACAGATCAGTCAATAATTCCTGTATAACGAAGTACTTACTTTATTAATACATATATAACAGGATCTTCATATTGCAGTCTTGTTACACTGGGTTTCTGCAGCCGCCTTTTCAAATCCCTCAAACATTCCAACCACTACCAACAGGAACAGGAAGTAAAGAACCAAAAGAAAGGAAGTGCATCATTCACAGCCAACAACAGCCTAACTGTCCACACATCACAATACATACACTCATACACTCACACACTCATACACAGCCCAACAGTCCATACATCACATCTCCTTCCTTTCTCAACAAAAAAAAGAAAATAAAACAAAATAGTAAAACGTCAACAACAATAATAAAAGAACAATTTAAAAATGTGTCCTTAATCTGCATCATTCTGTCCATCATCTTCAAGATCTACAATCTTTTTTTCAGGACAGCTTATTCTATTCCTACTAGGATACCATTTCCGCCTTCTCACTGTGGAGTTTCTCCGACTATAGTTCTGGTTGCCAGCGGTTTGTGGTCCTTCTCTCTCTTGTTGAATGGGCAGTATTTTCATGACCACAGTCTTCATGGTTACTTGAACTTTGGCTTGGCAGTTCTTGTTCCTGAGTTTCATGGGGTATCTCCTCCAAATCATCCCCTATTAGATTCTGAGCCTTTGGACCAGGTGTATTACAGACTTCAGAAATGTCATCATGCCAAACACCATGCCAGATATCAGTGTCTGGTTGCATGAGTGGCCCAACCCACTTTGATAGGTTGTCTGTTATATGTGGTCGAAGTTGATTTGTATGTCTCCGTGTGTAACATCCATCAGAGGTTAATACTTTATAGTGTGCCGGCCCCAGAACTTCCTTTATCACTGCTACTTTCCAACTATTCTCCTGATGATATACACGCATCCAAACAGAATCCCCTGTCTGGTAACAACGGCCTGCTTTTCCGACTTGTATCTTCGATTGTTGCTGGATGACCCTTTGTTGAATCTCTGGTTTTAGCAGATCCAACTTTGTCCTGAGTTCACTGCCTAACATAAGGCATGCTGGAGGTTGTCCAGTGGTTGGATGAGGTGTATTTTGATACTGTTGAAGGAACTCAGACAAATGATGTTCAGGTCTCTTTCCTTCTGCTTTCAGACTTCTCAGAAAACCCTTTAACGTTTGAACAAAACGTTCTGCTTGACCAGGATAATACGGTGCTGTACGATGATGCCGAATACTGTTTTCCTTGAGAAAAGCCTGAAATTGTCCAGAAACAAACTGTGGTCCATTATCTGAAACAAGCACTCTGGGCAAGCCAAATGTTGCAAATAGTTTCTGTAATGCTTTAACAGTAGCTTCTACAATGGTCTGCGACATGAATAGAACTTCTGGCCATTTAGAATGTGCATCTACCACAATCAGATACATTTTATTTTCCACTGGTCCAGCAAAGTCTATGTGAATTCTCTGCCATGGTGATAGAGGCCAGGTCCAAGGTTGTACGGCACCATGTGGCAAGTCACGCTGTGCTTGTGCACAACCAGTGCAACCTGAAACATAACAGGCAATATCCTCATCATTGGTTGTCCACCATACATGACCTCTTGCCTTCTGCTTCATGTGGACTATGCCAGGATGACCTGCATGTAAAATTTCAAGAATCTATTGTTGTAACACAAAAGGAATAACCACCCTTTCTCCCCAGATTAAGCAGCCATCTCGAATTGAAAACTCCCGAGCCCTTGTTTGGAATGACTTGAGATGTATTGGAGTTATTATTGGCCAACCCTTGCGTACAAAAACAAATATTTCCCTCAGCAAAGAGTCCTTGGCTGTCTCCTGTGCAATTTCTCTGGCTGTTATCACCTCACTAAAATATATTGTAGATCTTTCTGTGGTAGTTAATTGTGAATCCATTTTCAATGGAAGTCTAGAGAATGCATCTGCATTAGAATGCAGAGCGTTTGGACGATATTGTATCTGATACTGATAAGCCCCCAGAGTTAAGGCATACCTCTGAAGTCTTGCTGCTGTCGTGATTGAAATACCTTTCTGTGGGTTAAAAATTGTCAATAAAGGTTTATGGTCCATAAGCAGTGTGAAGCCAAGATAGGACCTTGGTTGTGTCACATTTTGTGGAGTTGGAGCATCCTGTAATGACTTGACCTTCTCATCTGTTGTATGCAGCCCATGTTTGTCAATTACATGAGGACAAAATTCACGACGATCCTGCATGAATTGGCATTTATCCAAATTTACCTTCAATCCATATTCCATAAATCTTTGCAAAATTGCCTCTACATTCTGTTTATGTTCCTCCTCTAATTTACCCATCACCAGCATGTCATCTAACAGGCACTGTGTCCCAGGAATTCCAGCTAACAGCTTGTCCATTGTTCGCTGCCAGACAGCTGGTGCAGGTGAAATGCCAAAAACCATATGGTTATACCTGAATAGCCGACGATGGGTATTAATCGTAAGTAGTGGTCGAGAATCTGGATGT